GCGCCTGGTCCCACGGCAGTTGGCAGAGGAAGCGGAGTAGAGAGGATGGAGAGGCTTTCAGCCTCGGGAAGCCTTCTTTGATCTTTGAGTGAGAAGGAGCTCGTTGGTGACGAGCCCCTTGACATCGAGGCCCGGGTGCTGCAGAGCCAAGCAGCCAGGGCTGGAGTTCGTTTCGGTGACTAGACTTACACCGCAGGTCGATTTGGTGCTCGACAAGAAGGTCTTCTGCACCCTGCGCTCTTCCAAAGCCATCTTCGACGCAGCACCTGAGCTCGGGTCTTTGCCGTGCCTTAGTCTTCCCCAACCTCCGAAAGGGTGACAAGCCAAGGCAGGGGGACTTCAGGTCTCAACAGTTCATATTTGCAATCAAGGCCCGGTGAATCGTTGCGCTATCTTGCGCTACTGCAGCGGAGATTTATCGTAGCATGCTCTGGCATCGAAGTCTCATCCATCATGTCTGAACACTGGTGTCCAGAAGGTGCGTGACCTGCCTAGAGACAGCCACTTCGCGTTTCGATTGAGGCCTCCTAGTGCGCCTTGCAGTTGCTCAGATCTGCTGCAGGGACTGCCGCATCTGGAGCATGCTCGCCAGGTACAGACGCTCGTCGAAGGGGTGTGCACCGAGGGGTGCGCCACACCGAGGCCGCCTGTGCCAGTCTGCAGTCCCTATCGCCTTTCTGCTGACAGGTGCTGGCTCTGTTCAACGACCGGGGGGTTTTGCGCCAAGGCCTAGCCACGGATGCCAGTGACCACGGAGCAGGCGAGGAAAGAGATGCAGCTGCTGAAGGCCGGAGGCTCGTCGCGCTTCTCTCAGACGACGAGGTTCCGCATTCCCACAAACCAGACCGCGCTACGAGCCGGTCTGCTCATAGAGGGGGAGGGGGATGCATCGTAGCCCGCGGCTTGCAGGCTTCAGGAGAGCATCCAGCGCAAGGCCAGCCGGGCGACTCCAACGAGGCGCATGTCTGAGCGGCCCGTTTTGTTGCAGGCTTTTCGAATGCTTTCGACATACCTGAATTTTCGACTCTCGCCCCATATTGGAGGTACTAGTAGCTTGAAAGAATCATGCCCTGATGTTTTTTTGGGCGGCTTTGTGATCTGTCCAACGGCGTCATAGCTCGTCTCTTCGTGTTTGTTTGATGATGTCTTCGTAAGAGAGCGTGTGAGCGACATGGCTCGTGCACGCTTGTGAGATAATGCAGTCGATTGTTCGCTGGAGCGGACCTACAGGTATTCTTCAGGTTTGGACAAGCGACCTTCGGAATGTGTTGTGAGTTGCTTTGCAGTTGTTCTTGTCGAAAAATGCTACATACAGATTTAATTTTTCGTTTTTTCTGTAAGGAGTCAGACTTTGCTTTCTCCCCCATGTCCTGGGCTCGCTTCATATTCCCTTCCTGTGGCTCCCGGATGGGCGGATGGGAAAAGCGGGCCGCTGCCCGTGGCTGGTGTATTTCTGGGGGTGGACACTCCGGCACTGTCCTCTCCGAACGTTTCACCAGAAAGACACGAGAATTACCCCTGGGCATCCCTCGGCAGAAGTTTCCAATGTACAGATCAGGGGACTTTCCTTGAGGAAGTCCGGATTCGTCGGCCCTTGTTCCCGCGAACAAGCCGCCCAACACTGCGCTTGTCAGCCTGAGGAACTCTGCCTTTGCCCGATGGCAGGTATCGATGAATCTGATAAGATTCGATCTATCTTCGATGGCGGAGACCACTGCACCAAAGGTCGTCCACGGCACTACACCAACAGGATCCAACAGGGCTCCCCAGGCGCCCTGGGCTTTGAGGTCCCGTACGGATGGGTCCTCCACAGGGCCCCCCTCGAGCCCCTCGGCTGCGACCCCATCCCTGAGCCCCGGATGCTTTGGATTCCTAGGCTGACGGGACTAAAGCACCATCGTGCGAAAGTCCTTCGTCCCAAATGGAAGTGCCAAGTTGCCAAGCTCGGCGACGAATGGTAGGTCAATAAAGTAATCACGTATGGCATGGCAAGCGCACAAGTAGACAGGGGGTGCCTTGCTGCCCTCCTCCTCAGGATCTGCCGTCTTTCCGCAAGTGGATTGGTGTTGTATTTGTGGATGTCTTTGCCTGGCTTCTCGGGGAGGCACTAAGTACCACATTGACCAACAGATGCGTTTTAACATCAGGGGTTGGCTGAGGGGGAGAAGCCACTTCGCGTGGCCATTTTGGCACAAGGACGTGCCAATCAAGATTTGATTCGGGGTGGGGGAGCGATGACGTCGTTGACCCCCTCTCCCGAGGTGCTGGAAACTTGGACCAGCATTGTCGCATGGTCAGAACTGTGCTGCGGTAGCTCTACTGTTGCCAGCGACAGCATCCGCTGGTAAAGTAGTTGGCACATCAGCCACTCATGGCTCCAGTAGGTGCCTCCTGCGTGCCGGGTTCAACACCTTCCTTACGGCGCTCACTGCATTTGCCACCTTCATTTGTCCTGGTATTTCTGCGATTGCTCATGAAACATGCTATTGCTGCACCTGCCGTCCATCGCTGCCAGCCGGGGTCCAAAGGTCTTCGGGTAATAGCTATAAGCTTGAGTGGATAGCGGTTTCTGGTGCAGGTCGAAGCTTATCTTCTTTCGAGTCGTTGAGAGCTCAGGGTGTATATCCTAATGGCCTTGTTTGTCATGAAGAAGAAGAAGCAGTTTCCTTCGAGACATATAACGGTAGGACTGAAAACAGTAGCACCTTTAACGCTGCTGGGGCTAGTTTTGGGCGACACAAAAACGACGTGCTCAGTAGTTGTCCCACCGTGAGACGCATGGGTGAAATCAGCAATCAGGGCTTTGCCTTCATCTGGTTGCCTGACGAGCTGCCGTTCTTTGCATCGAAAGACGCATTGCAGTTTTAAGCAGATAGCTCGCGCGTGCACAAGGCATAAGAGTTGAGGGTAATGTTCCGATCTTTTCGGAAGATGTTCATTTCGCAATGCCTGTTCAGAAGACGCTGATGCATGATTCGGCACGATCGAGTCAGAAGTCTAAGGACAACGGTTGATGCAGGGTCACGTGATGTGTTCTATGACCCAGAAGAGCATCAAGACCAGGTCGAGGTCCCGCCTCCGCCTGCGTAAGGTTCCACCTGAAGGCACAGGCGATTCGGAAATGAGCGGGGGTGATCTCCCTCAGCGACACAAGCTTTTAAAAGAGTCGCAAAGTATCGAGCATCAGTTGTCCCCAATTTCCCAAGAACGCTGCATGCCCTACATGCCAACGTAGCCGCATGTATCGTTAGCCGGCCGAGGTCAGCTACCTGAGGTCACGCAGTTTGGCGAACGGATAGCGACGGGTTCATAATCGTCCGTAAATTGAAGGATGGTAAAGAAAATGCTGTCCAGGTTGTTGATGAGTTCTCAAGTTGGATACGAGCATATCCCATGGACACGGACACGAGGAACCTTTTGCTGTTCTTCGGCCCACGCATGATCACACAAACGTTATGTGTAAGGTCGGACCAGGCCCGTTGTAGTCCAGGAAGGTGTCATGGCACCACTACACGGGACTCACACAACGCGCCAGGCTTTAAAAACTTACTCGTAAGCCTAACGCCGCGAAAACGAACCACTGTTGTGGGTTGAGGATCCATCTGGAGACTCCCCATGTCCGGTGATAGATGTGCATCTACAAGGCGTCTTGTTCAGGAGTCCAGCGACGTTTGACCCACGGCGTTGGCATGCGTCCATCGGCACAGGCAATCCTAGGTTTACTGCCTTTGCATTTAGCATCGAAGATGCTAACAATCTGAGTCCTGAGGACCATCACCTGTTGCACGAGCTAAACCTAGGCTTTAAGCTCCAGTGGCCGTGGAGTGTTGTACACGTGGCCGTCTGTACAGGCTTAGGTGACTGCTTCGACATGTTTGAAGGGAGGCTAAGAAAACACGCGCCCCGGGCATGTTTACTGGAGGCGTGATAGGTATCAGGTTAGGACAAGTCGAAGACAGTACAACCGAGCATTTGGCGCAAGGAAAACAAGCGGGCTGGCGTTGCTTGTCGCAATTCTTTCTTCGCACACTTGTGTGTCTTGTGTTCCTCTGGGATGGATGCAAACGTCATTGTACGTGTGCGCATGCGCAACAGGAAATTGACGTTACCGTTAGCAAGTGATTGGGGTGTGAACAAAACTGTGCCGGAGCCTTCACGGCCGGCGTGTGTCATGGGTTCCTGCTGTCCTAGTGTCGTTTCCGGTGGGCAGAAATGAAGGCCGAAGGTCGAAACCTAAATTGGCCACACAGGCATACAGTATGACACGTAAAACCCGGCCCTAATGTGCGTTGCCTGCTACCGCTACTATGAGGATCTACTTAAAGACGCAAGCTTGTCAAGGCGTTTTTTTCATGAAGCTCATGTCCGATGTAAGGGTAGGCAACACTTTGTTGTGCACGCTGACCACCTCGCTCGTCACGTTCATTGATTTTGGCTTGATGTTGTGCTTGAAATGCAAAAGCTGTTGCACAACGCGATTGGGGTTTATTGGCACTGTTGATAACTATATTGACCATGCTACCATGCTGCCTTGCACGAGTCGCATCATGGAAACAATCCTTTATGGGTTGACCGTCTACGAAGTACGATTACGGTGACTTTGTGTCTGCACCTCCACATTGGTTGCCCATTGATTCCCGTAACAATGACTCCATTCAATTCCACGAAAACGTGTGGCAAACGGTTTGTGCGTGTCTTACAGGAGTCTTGTTTCAACAGTTCCCACCCTTGAAATTCCTTGACAAAATGATGCCAATTGTTTCCAGCTGTGTTAAGAGTTTACAGAATAGTCGACATAAATTTGGATGTTTGCAAGCTGTTCTCGATCATTTGGATGTCGAAGCCAACCATGAGGCTGCTGTGCGCTGGCTGGAGGCCGGCTTCGCCTGCACAAGACGGAGTCCAGGTCTTTTGCATGAGTTGCAAGATCTTGCAGACATCTTGTAGATATTTTGCAGCTCAAGCCTTCTTTTGCTGCCTTCTGGCTTGGTGGTCCCACCATGAGCCAGCTTTTTCTCTCGAATTTGACACTCGCCGACTTCGACGGAAAGTTCCAACTCTACCTAAGTGACCGTGCCCTCCGATTTTCTGATAGCGGTGAACAGAACATGATGATCATTCCACGGAACAGTGTGGCAGCAGTCAGAGTCCGAAACCTTGCTAATGTTTGAGTTGTCCCGTGTCTTTCAGATTGCTTTTCGTGCTGATGTTTTTGCTGGAATAGGGCTGAATGCACTGTCACGATCCTAAGGAGACACGGACCTGTCCTTCTCCACCACCGACATTCCGAAAGCTGCAGCCTTTACTCTGCTCAGCATGGCGGTGTCCGGCTGGCTTGAGCCTTGTCAGCACAGCCTGCAAGGGCATGTCGCAGACATGTCTTGTGCCAATGTCAACTTTGCTATTTGTGGCCTCACCAGACAATGAGCGATTAGCAGCGGGTCTTCATTGCTTGCTCCGCTCTGAGTAGGCTGACCTTATACCCATGCTAGATGCTGTGGAAAGATGCAGATTCGGCACCCTGTGTGAGGCTCGCCGATCCATGTACGGTCTGGTCCATGCCAAAGGTGCGTTGGACACTGTCTCGGCCGTTGGAGCAGTCGGAGGAGGGCGGAGGCCTCAGAATGCACGTTTTCTGTTCAGCTGTAGCAGAGGCATGTGGCTCTGAGCAAGGTGGGCAGGTCTGAGAATGGGGTGCTGGCTCTTCCGCAAGACGCACGTACAAGATGGATCGTTTGTCGAGGTGCAAACGCCTGCAGGTGCACAAAGTTTCAACTGCAGTGATGCACAGGCAAGGGAGTTCACGAGGCTTTTCTCTTGACTGAGAGCCCTCTCAAAGCACAGATGCCCACTCCGCAGGACGACAAATCAATCCGAGTTAGCCCCAAGGTGATTTAGATCTTTGGGCAAGCGTGCGATCGCTTGTAGAGAAAAGGAGTGCGCTTTCGTCGACGTTGCTGTTTAAGTTTAAGTTTAGTGAGCTCTTCTTTGGATGCGGCTTTCATCGAAGGCAGCTGCAATGCCCGGTGCACGGGCACGCGCCCGTCGCTTGTCCGAGGCTGCCTTTGCGGAGTTGCTGGTGCGATGTTGCACTGTAAGAGAGAGAGCTTTACAAAGGCCAAACTTCCAACACAATAGAAAGAGGAAACACGTCGGGTGTAAATCGCACAGAGCCACAAACGAGACAGATCTTCGGTTCTAACTCAGTGCCACAGCCACGAACCTTTGATCCATCCCCTCAGGCCCCCTCAGGCCCCATGGCATGGAGAAAGATTCACCGTTGAGAGACATCGGAGCTGTTCAGAGTCATGAGCGGCTCGGGCCTCCGGTGCGGTTTCGCAGGCGCTCCTCTTGGAGGAAGCTCTGGAGTTGAAACGACGAGGTGCAGATCCGATGCCGCGGAACCACAGGAAAGTTTCAAGCGCTTCACAGCGAGCGCAGGATGGATTCCGACGAGTTCCGTGCCTGAGTGCGAAGATGCCTTTGCAGGCGCGCTGGCACGTTTTTGTGCATATCTGTGGTGAGAGAGGCGGTGACCAGGGAGTCTCTTGGTCAGGCGAAGTGCAGGAGGCGCTGGAGAGCTCAGGAATGGCCTGGTGCTCGCCTCAGCGCAGAAAGCGCCTCAAAGCTCACGCTCACGTGCTTGAAGCGCCGTCTTCGCACATCGCACACCGCACCTCCACGAGAAAGTGAGTCAAGAGTTTTCGTTCTAAGCCTGCAAGTATCGTGCGTGCGACTCAAGGCTATCAGTTCAGCTTCCCGAGTTCCAGCACCCTGTCATTTTTGCAGAGTGCGGGTGCCAAGATTGTCAGGAACGGCAATTCGAAGCAGCCAATGAGCGGTCAATGTGGGATGTCTTGCCCAGGTCTCAATATGGACAGGATATCGAGATCCCCTCTGGCGTCCTCGCGGCATCCAGATCGAAGGACACCTTGATGTCAGTGTTCGCATCATCTCGCATCCGCGGACGAGTGAACATATGTCAAAATGTTGCGTGTCCAGGATGTCGACCAGAAAGACCTCGATGCCCTGAAGGGAGCACAGTGGTTGTCCGGAGCAGAGCTGTTCTCACGGATTCAGCATCGAGATGTGGAGCAAACGAGGCTCCGATCAATGCGACCGGAGCCGGCAGCTGCGGCGCCGGGGGCCTCATCGTCTCAATGCCATCGCAGTGTAATCCGACATGCGCTCTTCTCAGTACGAGCTCGGTTCCTGCTGGGCTTACGGGACAAGGCGCAGTCTGCGACTTGCATTGGCACGTTTGGTTTTTCAGGGGCCACTGCAAGATCGGTTGGGCTGTTGCGGGAGGGACTTTGGACTGGAGGCCGGAGCTTCAAAAGCTTTCTGGACCATGCACGTGCCTGAAAGCCGTCGAAGCTTTACCGTACTTGACGGATGTGAGCATCAGAAGCCCTTTCCTGGATGCGCTCAGGGAGCTGCCTTGGAACATCCAGCACTTTTGAAGAGCCTCCGGCTGGGTCGCTCGTCGCGTGCGGCCATGTTCAAGGTCCTCCCTGTCCGATGTGGCGATGCTAACAGTTTGGCTCGAATGCTCCACATTGTTCCCGGCTGTGCGCTGCAGGATCGGGATGCCAGACCCAGTGCCGATGAACTCCGCCGCCTGGTGGGAAGCTCACACGATCTCAGGTCATGCAGTGTAGGTCCAGACATGATGAGGACCGTTAGAACCGGGCAGTTTGGCTTAATGATGAAGGCCGAGTTGGTGCGGCGCCCGCGGCGCCAGCTCAGTGCGATTCCCACGTCATTCCCGGCGACACTCCTGTCCAGATCGGACTGCGCGCCATTCCGCCAAGGTTCGGAGGAGAAGGATTTGCTGTTCCGATTTCGCTGGAGCCTGACAGCCCCCCGGCCGCATCTTCGACCCCTATCGACCCCTCGAACTTGAAGACCTTGACGCTGTGCGCAGGACCAGCCGGGTGCCTTGACCAAGTTCCTCCACGCAGTGGACTGGTCGCACGTGGAGGACCGCTGGTTGTGGCTGTGCCTCTTTGGGGCTGATACCGCGGGAGTTGGGGTCTTCAAGGAGCGGAACCATGCCATCGAGCTCTTGGGCTTAGACCTGAGATTTCGGCTCGTGTCCTTTTCGCAAGAATCCGGGCGTCGGGCGTTGGGTTTTGCGAGTGGAGGACATTGGAGTCCAGTGGACATCGACGATGCCCTGGAGCTCCTCAGCAAGGCGAGATCGCTTCCACTCTGGCCGCAAGGGAATGTAAGGGATCTTATTCCCTTCCGTGCGCGACCAGTTTCGTCAGGATTTTCAAGGACTTCGAGAAGTTCGGCACCATGCTGTGTGACGTCCTCGGAGGGGTGCTTATTCCGTCCTAGAAACACCCCAGGACATCCAATGCAACAGCAACCTTCAACCAGCCAGGAGCATCCTCAAACCAGAAGCCATCCGTTTTGCCGCATGTGCTACGCGACGGTTGGGAATGCAGGTACCGATTCGAGGTCTCAAATGGCGGGACTCCACTGCAGCGAGTGCAGAACTGGGGTTCTACCGTGATAACCGTGATAATTTCCGCGCAGACTTGAACAACAGGAGTGTGGTGAGAGCTGCGGCAACGCTCCAACCAGATGCATGCAGATGCCACATGTGCACGCCAATCTCATGATTTTGTACTCTTAGCTCCAGAACCCCATCCTGCTAACGCAAGGTACGTGAACAAGGTGTCTTCTTGTTCACAGGGAGCCGACAGCAATGCTGTCCTCGCAAGAAATCATTCGGGCAAAGATATCGTATGGTAGAAGGAGTCTGGATGCATTGTGCACAGTGTCATGCACATAACGCTGGAGGCAGAGGCTGCAGAATGCCAGCGATGCAGATCTGCAGCTCTATTTGCTGCAGCTCGTGCAGGTCCTCTGCCGTTGCTGCGAGCACGGTTGAGGGGTGTCTCTACTTTGTGAGAGGCTCTGCGCTACGAGCCTCCAAATGAGGCTACCATGGAGAGCGAGGCGGGTCAGTCGCTGTTTTTTTGTCAGCCATACGGATGCACTTCCGAGGCCGAAGGTGGCCGAAGCGGCGAGGCAAGTTGGGCTGGTTGTGCTTAGACTTGAGTGTTGAATCTCGCTGGCACCTAGTAGTTAACCGTTAGCGCGAGAGTCGGGACGGCCCCGGTGTCCCGAGTGCTTGTACGCAGCCATGTGTTTCTGTGGGACTCAAGCCCAAATTCCTGGAGGGACCCGTGACAGAACTGTGAAAATGACCGGTGCTCCTACCTTGTAGACTCCCCTGCCTGATGTGATTCTCTGCCTGAGATTCGCAAATTTTTCTGCTATGAGCAGACCCAAGAAAGCCCACCAAAGAAAAGACGAGGGGTGGTTTGCTTAATGGCTTAACGTTCAGGTTTTAGGTTCCGAAGTGCCGCATGCTTGAGGCCTTGGCAGGGCCGCCGTCTGAGAGCCAGGCACGGGAGGACATCGCCTGCGAAGACGTTGTGCCCAGGTTCCTGATTCGCCGAGCTGTTAGCTGCCCTTCTTTAGCCACTCTGCTCTATTGGTATGTCGTGGCCCCGCGCCCAGTTCGTACACTTACAGGCCTTGTCGACGGCGAATACTCGCTGCCGAGGCCGAAATCGACGAGGGTGAGTCTGGCGGACACTTCGACATGGCGCGCCCGACAGTGCCTTCAGCCATCATGGGCCTCAAATCTTGACATGCGAAGCCGGAAACGATGGCTGTGGCTAACATCAGGGCCCCCTACCGGTATGCCATGAGACCTCGAAAGCTTGAAAATGCTTGAGAAGTTCAGGTGCGGCAGCGGCTTCTCGAGGCTTTGCGGTCCTCGCAGGAGGCAAAAGCCACAAGGCACCTGCTGGAGCAGCAGGAGCGAAGGAAGTCTGGGACCACAATGTACGATTTGGCGGTACGGGCAGAGTCCCCAACCACAAAGGAGAATACATCCAATACGTTGCTGTGGCGTTCAGGAGAGACTGCGCAAGAAGCTGCTGTGGAGTCTGCAGGTGGCCAAGGCTGCCGGCATCCCAGTCTTGCACGGCTTCATGAAGAAACTGTTCTTCTGTGTCTGGCAGGGTAAGAGAGACCGGATCGAGAAGAAGGCTCCCTGCACAGTCGGGAAGAAGGGATTGGCACAGGATGCAGACACTTGATTCGACTGGTAGCAGACATCTTAGCTCGCAATTCGTCTATCGGGGGCAGATCGAACGCTTCCGCCAAGCGCTGGTTGCCACTGATCCACCTGCTGGGGAGGCGCGAGGATTTGTTTGATATCGTGTCCGACAGGGCTGCCCGTGCTGCAGGATTCCTTCCAAGAGCTGGATCTGGTCAACGGGCAACGGCCTCAGCCAAGCGCATCTCACTGCATCTCGCCTTGGATGCTTTGCAAGGCTGAAGGAAGGCATCCCGCTGCCTGTGGATCCGTCCGTTTCTTTAGCTGATTCCTCGGACATGCGTGCGATGGTGCGATGTGCGATGACGCTGAACAGGGGGATGTGCCGTTATACCGCATTTTGTCAGGTTGGTATCTTGCCAGAGCAGCCGGAGCCTCAACCTGCAACTGAAAGGCTGAAGGGCCGGCAGTCAGCTTGATCCAGATCTGAAGACCTGAACCTCTGAGAGTTCAATCGCAAGTGGTACCACCGTCTTCGCACTGGCAAACTGTCCGCTGACCTACTTGTAGTGTGCAAGTACTCTGCAAGCACTGCACGTGGAGTGACAAAGCAAGACAGGAATCGTGCCAGCTCCTCCCACACGTGGCTGTCGCTTCCTTTTCACCCCATGCCGGACCCGAGGAGAAAGCTCCAATAGCATCAGGAAATCAACGCAAAGCACAAGAGTTGGAGCGACCGAGCACAGCTGCCTGGGAGCTCCACATCCGTGTAGGAGCCAACGAAAGATAATGTTGCAGGGCTTCTGTTGTCACAGGGAGGGAACGACGGTCACTGATCTCCAAAGGTGCTTCCTGCTGAAATCGGCGATGAATCCAGGTGTGCTCGCCTGCCAGGCAAGTGCTGCAGCCAAGTGAAGCAGCTGTTCACGACGTTTCACGTGACAGGGCTGCCTGCTGTGTCCCGTGATGCCAGTAACTGTCAGTGTGCCTCTGAGAGGTTCGCCCGTCGTCGAATCCCCAAGGCCAGCGAAGCCTCAAACGGGCCAGCGGCCTGCAGAGCTCAAGCTGCAAAGACTCGAAAAGTGATTTGGGCATCAGGTCATGGTGAAGGAGGGTGACGATCTGCGGCAAGACCAGCCGGGGATCCTAGTCCTTCAGTGGATTCTTGGTTGTTGGCACAGTCTCAAGCTTCAAGTTTCGGTGCGGTCTTTCGTGTTGGCGTGACCGTATCCTGGAGGGATTTGCGGATAGTTCGAGCAGACATTGGAATGGAGGTGCATCTTTTTTTTGGGAATTCTTTTTTTCTTTTTTTGGGAATTCTTTTTTTTTAGGGTTTGGGGCTTAGTTCTGTATTTTACTAGGAAATATTCCTTTTTCTTTTTATTTTTTGCGGAAAACCTGCATTTTCTCTATTTTTCGCAAGTTTTCTTTATTTTCGTAGGAAAACCTGAATTTT